AAACCGTGGTGAGACGGTGCAATGAGGCTAGTGTGAGCCTAGTAAAACTCGGNGATCAGGTGTGATCACGAGTGGTGCTGGCTGAGGGCCACGGCTGTGTTGTGGACGTCGAGTCTGGGGTTATTACTGGAGTCTGGAATTCGGTTCGGACAATGCTGGTAGCATATGTTACGCCGATGGTCGTACATGTTCTTGTTTGATTGTTGTACGACCATTTGGTCCAATGCGGGGTCAACGGTTGATCGGACATGTTCTTGTTTGATTGTTGGACGGTCAATCGGGCAGCCCTAATCCGGACCATGGGGCGTGCATCGTTGATGTTCCGGATGAATCTGGGCGAGTTTTAGGCGAGAGTGTTAGCCTTAGCAGGACGGGTTAGGGGATTTGAGTGTTATCTCGAAGGATACTGGCCGCGTTCGGGTCAGGTGGTGGAGACCGTAGTGAGACGGTGTTGCATGATTCGAGGTGGAATCCCTGTTAGTGGGGGAGAATTGTAACTCCCGTGAACCAAGAAGGGGATTTTTTTGGGCATGTGTGTCGATCCACGGGGTAAAATCAGACCGACGATTTCGGTTTCTGATTTGCCAGTTTGGAGATCGGTTTAGGAAACCCTAGGGTTTCGTTACAAAAGCGTGGAGAACGCATTTTCTCTTTTCTTTTGGCCGAAATCAGAAGAGATTGAGAGAGGAAAGAGAGTGTTTATGTGAGGATTGTGAGAGAAGTGATTTCCTTGAGTGAAAATCAATTCTGCTCGGGTTTTTGATAGAGACGATCGGCTGGGAAGATGGAATCGGATCAGAGTGAAACTTTGAGGCTAAGTTCTCCACTCTCTAATCTTGATTTAGGAGGAAACGTTTTGTAAATCGGATGTGTATTCTGAGAGTTATCATTCTTTTCCCGAGAGAGGTTTCTGTAGTTTCGTATCTGCGATCAGTCCGCTTCGAGGGAGGATTTCCGTCGAACCAGAAAGAATCAGGAGATGATCCATATGCCGTTGGAAATACCTCGCTGTCTAGTTTCTAGATCAGGGTTCGGATCCTGATTCGGAGATAATCTCCGTTCTCTGTGTTCTTTCAATTTACGGGTGTCGTTTATGAAATCTCTGTTTTTCCAGTTCCGATCAGTGAGATTGCGGGCTGTTTTCCTGTTGAATCTTAGGGATGCAGAGGACGATCTATATACCGTTGTGTAGATCTCTCTGTCTAGTTTTCAGAACAGTTTTCCGATTCTGTTTTGGAGCTGTGGTTGATGAGATAATCGATTCTGAAATCAAGGTGAGTGCGCGACCATAGACCCTCGGATTAGGATTTGATGGAATATGATTGATTGCTGTTGTTCCTGGTTGTATTCGTGTTTGGATGTTGAATTTTGTGCAGGAGATCGATGAAAACGCGTTTGGAATCGATCCATGAGAGGATATGATCGATTCTGGTTTTCTGCGTTTTCTGGGCTCCGTGTCGAGCGACACACGGTGTTTGTGTTGAGCGA